AGTCCTGGTTCCCACAGTGGTAACATGATTATTGGCATACTCTTTACTAGATTCCTTTCTTTCCTTGTCTCACTTCCTCTCTCCCCTACTGTTTCTTCCTGGGATCACCTCCCAGATAAACGACTTGCACACATGTGCTTGTCTCAAGGTCTGCTTCAGAAGGGACCCAACCTAAGACACTGAAGTTACAGAGCCCGGTAGGGGAACAGGAAGTCAAAGAGGTTGCTATAACATTTTCATGAAAAAACTAAGGTATATTTCAATCTGAGCAGACAGGAAGTCAACACAAAAAACATGGGCTTTAGAATAACTCAGACACAGATTTGAATTCCTGCTCGATCATTTATTAATTGAAAAAACAGGCAAGTTAACCTCTCTAGGTCTGTGTTTCATCCTCTGTAAAAGGAAATAATAATGTCTACCTTTCATTTTGTGAAATTTGTATGAAGAAATGTATGTAAAGTGCTTGGCACACAGTAGGCACGTTATATATGGAATCATCATTAATTATTAGCTAAAAACTTCCCAGCAAGGAAAAATAATGAACACTTGGATTTAAATTACTGTCTTTTCCTATATTTAACATGTCATAACATATTACAGCTGGTAGGGACTGTAGTCAAGTACCTTTGGTTCTTAGATGGGAAATCTGGAACTTAATTAAAGAGGCAAAGAAGCTTGCTCCAAGTCACAGGTCTAATTAATGTAAGACAGCAATCTCTCGTTGTTCAACAAGTGACCAGGCTAGAATTTTTCTGGTGTGAGGCACTGAAAGCAAAGCTAATAATAGCCCTTTAGGAAACTTCTGTCTTACAAAACAAGCAGCACAGTGGCCAAAGAAAACAAGCAGGGGGCTTTTCTAAAATCCAGGGGCATTTTCTCCTTCTGTTAACAACTGCCAGCTCAGTCAGGAACAGCTCCGTTCATTCCCAAGTCCACTTGAACTTCTTTCCTCCGCCTTGGGAAATCTCCGGAGTTGGCTCATTTTGGAGCTATTCCCATTAGTTAGTTCTTAGAGCCCAAAACAGAAAAACGGAAGGTTCAAGATAAGGTGTTGCCAAATAGGAAGCAAAGAAACTCATTAAAATTATAAATCTCAGAATCATCTAGGAAGTTCAGAAAGGGGAATTAGAGGATCTTTTTGAATCAGAGGAGAAAAGAGATTAACTTAAAATACATAGTTATGTTACTTCTTTAGAACTTTCTCTTTGTTTGGTTAAAAACCACTTACTTTCTGTGTACGAGGAATTCAAAATGCAGACGCATCCTAGATATTCCTCAGATTTGCCCCACTGTTACAAATGACGTCTGTGGTCTTCCAGCAGAGAGGGTGTCAGGATTAGCTCCAATGATATTTTGGTCAAAATTCTCCGCCTAGTTGTGCACCTGCCGTGGGTCCTCTTGATATTATCTCCCATATTAGGTGGCCCTGGACCAGCATATTTCAGAGTGTGGGGTGATTTGGGCATCTGTATTAGAATCACCTGAGCTACTCATTGAACGTGGAGCTTCCCAGGCCCACCCCAGACCTATTGAGTCAGAGTTTCTGAGTGTTGGACCTGAAGACACGTGTTTTAAATGAGCTGCCCAGGTGAGTCTTCATATGACAGAAGTCTGAGAACCGCACTCTTCCCCCTGTGTGCGGGAGCACAAACCGAGAGAAAGCCCAAGGCTCCTACCTGATCTTCTAAGATGTCTACAAATCCCAAATGAACGAACATGCCTTCCTGGGGAATGAATTTAGAGGGAACCAGACCAATTTTCCATCAAATATGCTTATGCTTTGATCAAATAAGAAATGCCATTCTATACGATGATGATACATTGGTATTAATTTTATTTCATGATTTGGGGTGTGAAGAAATAGCACATCTGTGTTCTGCAAATAGGACTGAATCTTTATTGGGATTTCTTCTCCCTACCTTAGACTCTGCAGAAGTACCTTAGATGTTAGCAGACTAGATTTTGGGGAAAAGGTACCAAGGCTTTAAAAAAATAAGTGCCCAGCACTGTGCCCACAGGTAAGAAAAACTAGAGCCTCAGCAAGGCCACTCCCCATGCTTGCAGCTCCCTTCAGCAGTGAGAAACCAAAGCTAAATTCATACCTTGACAGATGGTCTTGCCACATGTGGTTATAGCCGGTCCTACTTTCCATTAAACACAATAATCTCCTGTCTATAGCTTTTATCTGTCCCTAGCTTATTGACCGTGTACAGGATGGCCTTGGATAAAATTGTAACGTTTGTCTTGGGGAAGCCAAAATCCTTTTTTCTGCCTCTCTCTCACTCCATCAGGGATGCCCCTTTGCCATAAAGGTGAGAATGAGTTGGCTTGGGCACAGAAACAAAAGTGCGTATAGCCCTTGATGTCCCATTAAAGTATGTAGAGGAGAGAGCAAGGACCTTCCAGGAAAGGCGATGATGAGGCCGGGAAGCGTGGCGCCTCAGAGATGAAATAGGCCCGGTGGAGCCTGGGGTGTGCCCATGTTTGCACCGGCTTCTTTACTTTTCTCTTTGGCTCTCTCAAGATGGAGATTGTAAAAGGGTTCAAATGAAACCAGAGTTGAAAACTGAGCAGCCCCAAGTCAGCAGGCTACATCCTCAGAGCTTGGGAGATTTGGTGGAGTCTTGAGGCACCTCTAGCAGCCTGTTATTTGGGGAAATTAGGTTTATTTGGGGAGCGGGAAATAATATTCAACATCCCCTGCTATTCAACTCTCATTCAATTTCCTCTTCAAACCATTCCTCCATCTCCAACAAGTGGGTGCCCCTCATCAGATCCTGACAGGAAAAAGCAGATGAAGGGGCGACAGTCCAGCTGTCATCCCACTCCTGCCCCTCACTGTGCTGGGGTCTCTCTATGAGAGGCAAACTGGGTTTGTCTATGGCTTCTTCATCAATCTTGGAGCCTGAAGAAAGCCCCTCAGCTCCCAGTATCCTGGGACCTAATTTTCAACCTCAGTGGCAGGGACACAGAGAATACTCTGAGAGAATGCAGATTGGCTGTCAGGGTGAGTGGTTTGGAATATCATACCTCTGCTGCTAACAATAATAAATTACCTTTGCTTACAAATCTCTTCCGCTCTTTATTTCTCTTATTTGGGCTCCTGTTATCGGGTTCCCTCCCTGAAGTTCTGTCAATGTAAATTTAAAATAATCATTTTGCCCTCTAGCCGTAGAGAGAATTTGCTTTTGAATCAGGATCTCCTGGAAGTGTGGTGTAGGCCTTGACAGCTTTTCCCAGGTATAGCTCAGCCTGCCTTGCTTGTTTCTTTGTCCACTTGATCCCTGTATGCTGAGGACCCAGGGTCCATTCTCACTGCATCTTTTCTCTACTGCTCACTGCCTCCAGGGTCCCTTTCTGCTTTCATATCTCGGAATCCAGGACACAGCCCTCCAGCGGAGAGCTGGGATGATCAAGTTGCTCTTGGGAAGAAAAGGGCAAGGACTGGAGACTTGGGCAGAACGGAAGACTTGGGTAGAACAGAGAGGCTCATGGTGGCCTTAACAACAAGAGAAACCATGGTGGCAGCTAAGGGAGTCAGCCCTGGAGATTGCCTGGGTTTCAATGCCTTATCTCTGCACCTCTGATGAGTCAGGTAAAATCCTGGGTTCTTAATTTCCTCATCTGTAAAATGAGGATAATAAGAGTGCTCATTTCATAGGCTGTTATGAGGATTAGGTAATTAAATAGAAGAACATGCAAAATACCCAATGGATATTTAATGGGGCATCAAGGATTTTAACTGCTTTCTCTGGGTTAGGTCTTGACTGTTTTTGTGTATGTAGAAAGAGCCAGGGCTAACGAGTAGTAAGAAAACTAAGCCTGTTACCCACCCAACTATCCACTCTTGTCTGCTGAGACACAGTTTTAGATCTCCTATTTTAAAAAGCTGTAATTATGGAATATTGGCTTCACTTGATCTCTGAAACCCTACAGATTATGGAAATTAAAATGATGCCCATTTACTGTCTCTATTACTTAAATTAGACAAGGTACAGAGATGGGGAATGGATATACAATTACCCAAAAGAAATGTCAACATGAAGAGGAGGAATAAATAATATTTTTTATATATATATGTATATATATATCCCTTTCAGTGGCATTTGGACACAGGATTCTTGAAACTGTGTTATTTTTACCATAAAAGTAATAGAAGCCTATTCCAAAAGTTGGAAAATGCTGAAAGTAATCTTGAAGGATATAAGAATTACCCCAAATCCTAACATCCAGAGATAGCCACTGTTAACATTTTGGTACAGTTTTTATTCTTTGCACATTCATATTTTAAAACTTTTGAACAAAATTTGGGTCAATTAAATATGAGTATATATAGCTTTCATCTTTATTTTTTCACTGAACAAATTGTGAGTGTTTTCTAGACATAAACACCTAAGCCTGTTTCCCGTTTTTGTTATTTTTAAGAAACAGGGTATTATTTCAAACATTTAAGTGACAGACAGCATTTCGAGTAATTTTGCCATAACTATGCACAGAATCTGAGAATGAACCTTGTGATTCATTCCTCTGTGAGACAGTACTTACAACAGGTTGAATTGGTAGGGGAGAGAGAGAAAAAAAGTGAGCGGTAAGCCATTATTGCCAGCTGTGGATGAGAAAATTGAGGAGAGTGGTCCATAGACGACAAAACTATTCTTAGTTCACTTACATTTATGAAATTCTAATTCCTACCACAATTACAGGAGAGATATTGCTAATAAGCAATTGTTAAAAAACTTTTTAAAGACATATCTTTTATGTTATTAGAATTAAAAACCACACATTTGTGTAATATTAACAGAATTCATGTAAAATAAGGAGGCATGAACCAAGGAGAATTAGTTCTAAGGTTTAGAGTTTCTGAAATCATTGTAATTTTTAGCGTTACGGATAGTCCCAGGAATTTTTTGGATGCAGCTGGGGAATTCCTCTTTACTAGGGATGGACATATCCTCCAATTATTCACAGGAAGCGAGCCTGCCTATAAAAGGGCTCCAGCAGGAGCAGTGCTCCACAGTTCTTGGCTGACTTCACATCAGCACTGCAAGAGAGGAACGAGACAGCAGCAGCGGTGACACACGAGGAATCCGACGCCGAAACAAGCTCTTCACAAAACAGTAAGTGCAAGAAATCTTTACTAGAGCAGCCTTGGCAATAAAACATAGACTATCAATATTAATAGATATGCAGAATATCTTCTGATAAAAGACCTGGGCAAGCTCTTATTGTACTCAGACTAGTTAAAACCTGGCTTTTCTCTTCGACCTAAGTGATGAAAATCTTAAATTTTGTATGTATTTATTCAAGTTACCTTCTTTGAAATGAACAAAGATTGTGGCCCCAGAATCCTTTACCTACAATCTTATGATGCTGCCATAAACTTCACTGTGAAGTGATGTGAGTAACTGGCTACTTAGGATTTCTTTCTATAATTAATTTTGTACTTTTCCTCCCCCAGAAAAGCATTTCAAGTCTAATCTTTTGATGAGAAGGACTCTTGAAGTCATGATTGCTTCACAGTTTCTCTCTGCTCTCACTCTTGGTAAGTCAACGTCATTAGTTACACTAGGGTTTCTTCTCCTCAGCACTATTGAAATTTTGGACCGGATAATTCTTCCTCGTGGGGCTTGCACATTGTAGGATGTGTAGCAGCATCCCTGGCCTCTCCCCGCAATGTGTTATGCCTGGGACTGGGGGCAATTTACTTTATCTTTGTGCGTCTCAGCTTCCTTATGTGTAAAGTGTTGTTCAGAAATAATCTATTTCCCAGAGGCATTGCGAGAATTCAGTATCATGGTTCATGTAAAGTGCTCAGATGATGCTCAATAAGGTGTAGTTATCCTGATAATTATTCTACTGTGAAGTGGGTATTCTGATAGGTTATGGTGGGTGAGTCTAGGTAAAGCACCAAGTGGAGGGTCAATCACAAAATAGATGCACAATAAATGGCAGTTCCCCCGTCTATACCCCTTCTTACTTTGGAAAAGGTGAAAAACATTTGAGTCATCCCAAAAGACGCTGTATGCCAGAAATAAGACAGTAAAAACCCTAGTCAACAGAGTCAAACGACGGCAGGACTAAACTTTCTCATTCCTTTCACGTTTTCCTCCTTAGTGCTTCTGATTAAGGAGAGCGGCGCCTGGTCTTACAGTGCCTCCACAACAAACATGACTTTTGACGAGGCCAGTGCTTATTGTCAGCAAAGGTACACGCACCTGGTTGCGATTCAAAACCAGGAAGAAATTAAATACCTCAACTCCATATTCAACCATTCACCAAGTTACTACTGGATTGGAATCAGAAAGGTCAACGATAAGTGGGTCTGGATAGGGACCCAGAAGCCTCTGACTGAAGAAGCCAAGAACTGGGCTCCAGGTGAACCGAACAATAAGCAAAATGAGGACTGTGTGGAGATCTACATCAAGAGATACAAGGATGCGGGCAAGTGGAATGATGAGAATTGCAATAAAAAGAAGCTTGCCTTGTGCTACACAGGTAGGGAGCAGGACGCCGTCAGGGGAGGTCATTTCACTGGGTGGGCATCTTGACAATTTGTTGACAGTATGCAAAAATTGGTCTCTATTGTGATAATTTTATGTTTTAAAAGATATGGTTTTAAAACATTCTGCTTGACTAATAAAGTATCTCTTTTTGCTTTTTTGTGCAAATGTAGGCAAGAATGCATTTATATGTATATATGCATACGTGCGTGCATATAGGTCTATACATATATAAAGTGTGTACAGACACATACAATACTTATTTTAGTTACTTGTTTTTATTTATGGTAGAGGAGATATCTTCAGAGTTTGTGATAAAGCGAATTTTCTATTCTTGGTGCCAGTGACAGCTATACCCCTGACATCCGTACATTAACATCAAGGTTTAAAATAGTTGAGCCTAAAACTCATCTTTGGCATTGTGTAAAGCACTTCAGTTAAAATCTCTGGCACTCCGTATCTTTGGTGATGTGTTTGTTGCACCTTGTTGACCCTAAATTCAAAGGAACTGCATTATAAGCACAATAACAATCCTCCTCCTCATGGATTGTATTTTCTGCAGCTGCCTGTACCCATACATCCTGCAGTGGCCACGGTGAATGTGTGGAGACCATCAACAACTACACTTGCCAGTGCCACCCTGGCTTTACTGGACTCAGGTGTGAGCAAGGTAAGTCTTGGTTTCGCCCACTCCTTCCCTTGAGATGCTGGCACCATCTTGTGTCCTAGCTGGCTTTGCAGTCAGGTCTTCATGTCTTCCCTTCCCTGGGGCATATGCTGTCATATGGTTGGTGGTTAAGAGCTGAGGCTATGAAGTCAGACCTTCCTGGGTTCAAATCCCAGATTTACCACTTATTAGTTATGGCACCTGGAGAAGGTAGTTAAACTCTCTAAGTCCCAGCTTTCTCATTGCAAAATGGGGATAATCGTAGTACCAACTTCACAGGCTTGTGGTTAGGATTATATGAACAAATACAGGTATAATGTTTTCATGGTGCTTGGCTCATAGGAAACATTCAGGAGACAGTAGTTATGGTTTTCAGTGTTCTTCTCTCCTACACAAGGTGAGAGAGGTGCAGAACTGATCTGATTTGCCTTTTCAGTTGTGACCTGTCAAGCACAGGAAGCTCCTGAGCACGGACGCCTTGTTTGCACCCACCCTTTGGGGAACTTCAGCTACAATTCTTCCTGCTCGGTCAGCTGTGAAGAGGGCTACCTCCCAAGCAGAACAGAGGCCATGCAGTGCACTTCCTCCGGAGAGTGGAGCGCTCCTCCTCCAGCCTGCCATGGTAAATCTCTCTCAGAACACACAGAACGTTCTCTAACTCATCTCTCATTGTCTTAGTTTTTATCCAACTTATAACATTTCAAAACTCTGGAGAAAATTCTTTTTGTGGTTGTTTTTAATTAAACTTGTTCTCTCAGCCAATATATATATATAGCCAATGTGGTACCTGCTTGGTTTGAGGAAGTTTTTATGCTATGTTTGAAATGGGTATTTCTGAGGCTCTGGTAATTTTTAAGGGAATGTATAAAACAGTGGCACCACACTCTAGAAATCTTAATGACTTTCTCATCTTCTTTCCCTGTTTAACTTCTCTCGTACAATGGACTAATTGAAGACCATGATAATCAAGCAGTCTCAATATCTCCTTTTCTCTCTCAGTCTTCTTTTAGGACAGACATAAGAAACTCTTTCCTCCAGGTCCTCCTCCTGGGCTCAAATAAATGAACGTCCTGCATATGTCACTGTTTCTATCACGACTACTCATAAATCCTGAGCTAGAAGGGCTTTTTCTTCACTTTTGTCCTATGTAAAATAGATCAGAGACCTGATGAGAGAGGTGATAAAATAGATGAGAGGTCACTCAGCATAGTCAAAGTAAAAATCAATCAGAGAAGATGAAAACATGAATATAAAAAGCATAAAAGCTTTATTGTAGGTGTGCGTGTCCCCACGAATTAACATAGGGCTTTGGTGTCTGCCCTTTGAAGGCAGCTCCCTCACTCTGCTATAAACTCCAGTTCAACAGGAAGTGAACATATCATTCTTCTGTGAAATTCATGATGCTCTTTCAAATCCCCAGTGGTTGAGTGTGATGCTTTGACGAATCCTGCCAATGGAGTTATGCAATGTTCCCAAAGCCCTGGAAGCTTCCCATGGAACACAACCTGCACATTTGACTGTCAGGAAGGGTTTGAACTAACGGGACCCCAGCACCTCCAGTGTACCTCATCTGGGAATTGGGACAACGAGAAGCCGACGTGTAAAGGTAGAGTTGCTCCCTGTCAAGAGTTACTGTAAACATTTTTTTCTCAACCTCTACTTGAAATGGGCAAGCCAGACCTGCTAATGTAAATGGGCATATGTGTTACAGCTGTGACATGTGGTGCCGTCGGCCATCCTCAGAATGGCTTTGTGAACTGTAGCCACTCCTCTGCTGGAGAGTTCACCTTCAACTCATCTTGCAACTTCACCTGTGAGGAAGGCTTCGTGCTGCAGGGGCCAGCCCAGGTTGAATGCACTGCACAAGGGCAATGGACACAGCAGGTTCCGGTTTGTAAAGGTAAGCCTGGAAGTCTCTCCTTTACACCTTCCTTTTCCTAAAGAGCGGCAACCTTGAAACTTGGGCAGCTAAAATGCAACCAGATGCCTGCTTTAACTATAGCAATCACATTTGACGGGCAACATTTATCTTATATCTTTGAGACTCATATAGAGGAACCAATGCTTGTCCAGGGAAAGGATTGTATGTAGATGCTTTGCTGGTTTCTTAACTGTTGTGTGCTAAACTAACTTTATAGACATAGGCATGGAGCAGGCAGAAATCTTAATCTAAGGGTAAACCACCTGAGAAAATTTTAAAAATAGTGTTTTGACGACACAATGATTCTAAAACTCTTGTCATACCCTTCTTCTGAAATTGCTCATAATTAGCAGTGATGAGAATGTTTCAAGTGTGGTGTCACATATAGAGAGATCCTAAGGCATACATAAGCACTAAAATTTAATTCACTTTAAAGCAAGAACAAGGATATTGAAAACAAGCAGTTTTCACCATCAGGTACCAGCATTCTCGTAGCTAAATACAGCACAGAACAATTTCCAGTGGCAAAGGCCACAAGACCAAAACCAAACTGCAAAGCAGACAAATTTTATGTGGCTGCCTTCTTCCCTTCCTTTCTTTTTGGCATCACCCATAAGCATCCAGGACCCATAAGTTGCTCTCTGACTACATAAAATCTTTCTCTTAACTCTAATTTTTTTCGCATCTCAGAACAGTGCTGAGGAACCACCAGTCCTGTTAAAAGCTGTCCTTTAATTAGTGCCATTGTCAATGCGGGGATTGTAATTCAAAGAAAGCGCAGCCATTTTCCCAGTTGTCCAGGGAGGGACGAAGAGTCTTGAGCTCTCTGAGCACTGCTTAGTCAAAAATGAACTGGATTCACCCCTCAAATGCCAAGTGCTCTCCAGTTCCACCACAATATTTTCTGACTATCATTTTGGTGTCTCAGCTTTACAGTGCAAAGCCCTGTCCAGACCAGAGAGAGGCTACATGAGTTGTCGTCCTAGCACTTCCGGAAGTTTCCAAAGTGGGTCCAGCTGTGAATTCTCCTGTGAGCAAGGATTTGTGTTGAAGGGATCCAAAAAGCTCCGGTGTGGCCCCACAGGGGAGTGGGACAGTGAGAAGCCCACATGTGAAGGTACAGTTTTTGTTTCTATTTTCTTTTAAGATAAAAACTATTGAAGTGATAGGGACATGGTTACCTGGAGTAACCCATTGCTGCCTGACACAAATACACTTCCAACGTGTTTGCTCATGTCTTCCAGCTGTGAGATGTGATGCTGTCCGTCAGCCCCAGGGTGGTTTGGTGAGGTGTACCCATTCTGCTGCGGGAGAGTTCACCTACAAGTCCTCCTGTGCCTTCAGCTGTGAGGAAGGCTTTGAATTACGTGGGTCAGCTCAATTGGAGTGCACATTGCAGGGACAATGGACACAGGAGGTCCCGTCCTGCCAAGGTAGGATGGAATTCAGACTTTAAGGAGTATAGATCAAGTACCTCATACCTTGCTGAACATAGATGGCCTCAGAGGGCTTGATCCTAATTTCCTACATAGTGAAAACCAAGTAGTGCTTATAGGTTATGTGTATTGGTGGCTTTTCAGCCAGTTTTAGAAGTTTTCCAGTAGATTTTTCTTAACCTCTCCCCATGTGCCTATCACTTGCAGTGGTACAATGTGCAAGCCTGGCAGTTCCCGGAAAGGTCAGCATGAGCTGCAGTGGGGAGCCTGTGTTTGGTGCTGTGTGTACATTTGCATGTCCTGAAGGATGGACGCTCAATGGCTCTGCAGCTCTGACATGTGGTGCCACAGGACACTGGTCTGGGATGCTGCCTACCTGTGAAGGTGAAGCATTGATTGATGGTGGTTGCCTGGGGGACTAGAGAGAAGAGGGGGAATTATCTGGCTACAATAATGAACTATCCATTATGTCCAAACCAGAAAGGTCAGAAGGGTTACCCTGGTTAACAAACTAGTGAATATTTAATTTTATGAGAATAGAGAGAAAACAGAAGAGGTGACCTGTTGACGGCATGGGTAGAATTCTGACAACTGGGAAAAAGGAGAGCTAGAAGGAAAAGTAGAGGGAAAAGTAAAACGGGTGAGGGAAATTGAGAGAGAGAGCATGCAGTACTAACCAGGGCATAGTGTGGTCTGTGAAAGGGCTTGGCACGTTAGAGTTTGGTCTGGCAGTGGTGGGAGACAAGCTTGCAAAGGTGGTTTGGGGCAGATCTCAAAGGCCCTTAATACCATGCCTCTTCCTCACATATTGCACTAGACAGCTCTTCTGCTTCGTACATTGTAATCAATGTACAGAGAAAAGAGCAAATGGATAGAAAGACCTTAAGTTCAATTCCTTCTCATGACCGTCTTCTGCTCTGTTTCTTTAGCTACCGCCAAATCCAACATTCCCTTGACAGTTGGACTCTCTGCTGCTGGAACCTCCCTCTTGACATTAGCATCATTTCTCTTCTGGCTTCTGAAACGACTTCGGAGGAAAGGTGAGGGAGTTTACCAGTGTACCCCAAAAATGTTTTTGAAAAATCTTTTCTTCACATCGATGGGTCATCTTCTCTCTTGCGGATATTAAATAGTAATTAGAATCTAGTTACTAGACAAACACTAACAAACTGCAACATAATTAAGCAGAAGCCTTAGGGAAAGGGTTTACAGTAGAGCTCAAAGTGGAAAGAGTCTCGGGAAATATAAACATTGGTTGTGTTAATATTGTACAACTCCAGGGAATGCCATTCACATTGAATTCTAGGGTTCCCCTTGGAGTTGTGCAATGAGGCTGCCATGATTAGTGCTCCCAGGAAAATGGATAAAATGTATCCAAAAAACTTATTTGGAATACAGGCTTAAATTTGGGAGTATCTCATAGGGAAGATGCAAACACATCTAGCCACACTCATGGTTTGTTTGGCCTACAGAATATTTTAAAATTTTCTAATTAAGTTCTGACATTTACAAAATAGGAAATTTCACATAAAATCCAGATTTGGGACTTCTTGTGAAAAATCAGAAGACAAACCTGGCAAGCTGAGCCTATAGCTATTTGCCGGCATGGGAATCTGTGGTGCCCTTGCCTCCAAGCCCTGTCTGTGCTCCCATTATTTCTAGGGCCCTGAAGGCATTGAGTTTGCAACCACTAAGGGATAGAGTCATGTTGTCTCTGGATTTGATATGTCCTTAAAAGTCATTTAGTCCAAATTAATGGTTTTCTTTCTCTTGCAGCAAAGAAATTTGTTCCTGCCAGGTAAGTCGCATTCTTGTACAAAGCATGCCATTGCACATTCTACACATTTTTCTCTTCATGTCGAAAAGCAGTGCTTGACTTAGTGCTCTCATGTGTTTCACAGCAGCTACCAAAGCCTTCAGTCTGATGGATCCTACCAAATGCCTTCTGAGTCAGCATAAGTCCCAAGGAATCAGGTAAGACTGCATCTGTGACAACTGCATCTGGTTTTGAGAGAAGATATCCTCTCTACATGCACGGTTGCTCTTGAACCCTCCAAACCTGCCCCTTTCTGGGGCCAGGGGAATCATTATCTTCACGGCATTTTATGGAAAGCTGTTTTCTTTCTTTGTAGAAGGAGAGGAAAAGAACAAAGCTCTGGGCTTTATTGAGCCATTTCATTTATGAAAGTTAATAATAATAATGACAGCTAACACATGGTACTTGCTATGCTCTGGAACTGTTCTAAGCTAGGAATTCTGTGAGCTAGGGACTATTACCGTTTTTCTTATTACACACATGAAGAAAATGAGGCACAGAGAAGTTAAGTTGCCTAAAATCTCAAAGATAGTAAGTGGTGTAGCCAGGATTCAAACCCAAGCAGTCTGGTTCTAGAATCTGCATTCTTAACCACTCTGCTCTGCTTTGCAAGAATTTGAAAGGGTCAAGTCGCCTCTGAATAGATTTATTTTTAATTAATAGGCTTTATTTTTGTGCAGTTTTAGATTTACAGAAAAAGCGAGCAGAGAACACAGAGTTCCAACAAACTCCCACCCTTCAATTTCCTCTATTGTTCACATCTTGCATTAGTATGGTATTTTGTTACGATTGATGAGCTAATATTGATACATTGTTATTAAGTAAAGCTCACAGTTTACTTTAGGGTTCCCTCTTGGTTTTGTATATTCCGTGGGTTTTGACAAATGTGTAATGACATATGCACCACTACACAATTATGCAGAATACTTTCACTGCTCTAACCGAATAGGATTTTGATGCTCATATTTGGACTACCCAGTGAGAGTGTGTGTAGTGATCTGTGTTAGCAGGTGTATTTTGTTGCTCCAATTAGTATGCAGATTCTGTCTCCTGATGGCGTGCATCCTTATAGTTGCAGGAACACAGTGCCTTCCGGGAACTAGAGCGATACCCTGAAGACAGCAGAGACGGGTCTCTGGCCCTTCTCACCTTCTGCACCTGCCACCCTCACAGCTGGGAAGGCAGCACCCATGAGGACTTCAACAGACCAAAATCCAGTGGGCAAGGCCAGCTTGCCACCAAAAAGACTCAGTTTTCTCTTTCATAGTCTCAGGATCTGGAAAGTGCTGGCCACTGGAGGGAAAGGATATTCTCTTCTAAGCAAAACTGAAGAGACCAAGGCTCTGGAATCTCAGAATTCCTTTTCTAATTCTCCCTTGCTCACTGTGAAATCTCGGTGGAGAAACACAAGATGCTGTGGCATTGTTTCTTTCTTTTGTCCCTCACAGTGTTTCAACTGCTGATTACATTGTTGCTGTCATGGGGATGAATAATAACTGTCAAGAGTTTAGAGGAAACAAATTGGCCAAAGATATTCTATTACTGACTTGGAAAAAACACAATTTTTTCATACTTACAGGTGACTCATGAGAAAGGTTGTTAATGGTGCAAATCCTACTGAATACTCTGCGAGGATTGCTAAGCAGTCTTAATCACTTTTATCCCTGTGGGATTCAGTACTTTTTAAAGTGTTCTTAGAGATTGTGTTCTTTTTACTTGCATTGAAAATAATATGAATTCTATAATTCTTAATTCAGTACAAGTGTGGTAAGGACTTTAAAATATGTAAATGTTAGGACTATGTTAGGGTAAAAGTTACTTATCCTAGATCTTTGTTTATTAACAAATTCTCAAGTTACATCTGTAGTAAATTTATTTCAAGAAAAGGCAAATACTGTCCCCTAGCAATGTACAATGTTAACCAGTGTAAAGTTCTAAATGTTTTATGGTCGATTTAAAAACATGAGTAGTATCAGGAGAGTAAAACCTGAATGGCACACACTTGCACACTGTCAGGGATTTTTTTCAGAAATAAGTGGTTTCCATGATGAAAAACTTCCATGAGGCCAAATGTTCTGATTTGATAAAAGCATAAGTGCAAACAAATGAGGGTACAATTTTGCGAATGTCTTTGTTGAAAAAAATGTAGATGTGCTTTGCCTTCCTACCAAGATTCTGTTAGGCGTGGTGTGTCAGTGTTTAATTCTTGTATATTACCTAAGATTTAAATCCATGATAGAAACTCACTGTGTAAAGGATTTTTCCAGAGGATTTTTAAAACGTGAAGCTGTCTAATAATTATTCCCTAATTACTTCATTCTGTTTGTTAGGGTGTTCTTGAAGAGAGGAATGCTCGTATGAGCAAGTATTCATATTTATTTATAAGGAAGTTTAAAATTCCTAGGAAATCTCTTGTTATCAGTTGGTCATTGGCAATGAGAAGTTCTTGATCAGGAATTGTCAAAGCTGCTTCAGCCTTGCAGGATGACGTGAGAATCAAATCTCTCCCACACTGCCATTAACTTAGCACGTGTTGAAAAAGCAAAGTTTCAGAGAAGTGCTGGCTACATATTGGCAAAGGCAAAGACAAAAATAAGCCGGGAGGTTTGATAAGGATCACAACAGCAGAGGTTTTTTTTTCTTCTTCTTCTAAGATTGGCGCCTGAGCTAACAAATGTTGCCAATTTTTTTTTCTCCCCATAATCCCCCCAGTATATAGTTGTATATTTTAGTTGTGGGTCCTCCTAGTTGTGGCATGTGGGACGCCACCTCAACATGGCCTGATGAGTGGTGCCATGTCTGCGCTCGGGGTCTGAACTGGCAACCCTGGGCCGCCGAAGTGGAGCGTGTGAACTTAACCACTCAGCCACGGGGCCCGCCCCAGAATGGCAGAGGTTTATAAGGGGCAAAAGAAATCTGGGAAATGAAGGAGATAAAAAACAAACAACTATTGCGATCAGGCTCCATATGGAACGAATTCTTATTTTCTCTGAAATTGTATAAATGTAAATATTTATATATACTGTATTGGAAATAGCTGTGTGAAATATAAATGTGCTATGTGTTCGGGTTTTATAAAATATTTTAAATTATGATTTAAAATATTTTGTAGTTTTTTAAGTATGTATTTATTTAAGCTTATGTCATACTATCGTATTTGACATGGCACTGTGAGTTTGATAAATAAACATGTTTATATTTAGCTCTGTGTGTGGGCTCTTTCATAAAATTCTATTTTATTTAGATGTAACTCACATACCATAAAATTTAGCCTTTTTAAGTGTACAATCCAATAGTTTTTGTTATATTCACAAGATCATGCAACCATCACCACTATCTAACTAACTCCAGCACGTTTCTATCATCCCCAAAAAGAAGCCCAGTACCCATTAGTAGTCACTCTCCAACATCCCTCCCCCAGCCCCTGGTAACCATTAATCTACTTTTTGCATCTGTGGATTTTGCTATTCAGGACATTTCATATAAATAGAATCCCACAATACTTGCCCTTTTGTGTCTGGTTTCTCCCACTTAGCATAATGTTTTCAAGATTCATCCCGTTTGTAGCATGGATCACTACTTCGTTCTTATGGCTGAATAATACTCTATTGTATGGATATGCCACATTTTCTTCTTCCACTCATCAATTGATGGATATTCAGGTTGCTTCTACTTTTTGGCTGTTGTGAATAATGCTGCTATGAACGTTCATGTACAAGATTTTGAGTAGACTTATGGTTTCAGTTCTCTTGGGCGTACACCTAGAAGTGCAATTATTGGGTCATGTGAAAATGAAACTCCATGTTTCATGTTTTGAGGAACCGTCAACTGTTTTCCAAAAGGACTGCACCATTTTACAATCCAACAAGCAACACATGTGGATTCTAATTTCTCCACATTTTGTCCAATACTTGTCTATCCTTTTGATTATCACCATCCTAGTGGTGGGAAGTCTATACAGATAGGCTATTGCATCAATACTGTACAGTTAACTGAAAAAATGTTAATAATCTAAAAAAAAGTCATCAACATCAATGAAACAGAGTCCTTATCCTGGAGTCTTTGCCTCATGCCAGTCTCAAGTCTAGGTTGCTCAAGTTAACCAACTCACTTTCGTTTACTCTTCAGACTCAGTTACTCTTCAGACTTGGAGCCGGATTAGTTTTTTCCCCTATCCAAAATATGTGTCTTCTCTCTTCTGGAGTAGTGTCAATCCACAAGGCCTGGTGTGAACCAAGCTAAAAACCACCTCAAGAATCTCATTGTTATCAAAGAATCAGAATATCTGAAATTTCTAAGAAAACATGGTTTAATGTTTAACCAAAAATTAAAAATTAAAAAATTTTGGTTACCCAGACTAAAAAGATTGTGGCTCTAACACTGTCATAGGCTGAAGTTAGTTTTACTTTGATTTTATACTTCATCTTAGCTCAAAGGTAATAATTAATAAAAAATTAAAGAAAAAAATGGAAAACAAAGATAGATTCTGTTAATTAGGGCTGTTTCCAGGTAGGACTGAAGTGGGCACACGCTTGAGACATCAGCTTGAAATGCAGAAAGAGTATGCACAGAGAGTTAGATTTCTCAGGTCTAAAAGGAGAGAATAAATGGAACAAATTAAATTTTTTCAGAAGAAAGACAGATGCCAAGTCAAATGGACATTGGTAAGATGCCCAAGTCAATGGACACAGAAGTGAGAAGTGGAACCATTCTTGGTGTTAGTACCATAGGATTAGAAGAGAGCTTTTCACAGAAGAAAACAAAAATTTACCTAAACAGCAAGAGCTTCTGGTTCTGTTTCAGTTAGAAATAATAAGTATCAATTCCACCTCAAAATTTTATCTACACTTTTCCAACATTCTAAGCCAAGACAAGTTAAAATATCTTTCTTTTCATATATGCATGTATATAGTCATTCTGCTGGTTTATAAAATCATTTTACTGCAAAGGGGTATGTAGTGGTAAGACAGTCCCCTGTCTTTGTCAAAAATACAAAAACAAAAACAAAAAAAAAACCCAGAATAAAACCACAGTAGAGTTTTGGCTTTAAGAAGGAGGTTTTTTCTTCTCCCTGATCTGCCAATGGTATCAAATCCTATCAATAGTTCTTTTAATAACTCTCATCAGCTGTGTTCCATTCCCACTGACTAATGTCAGAACGGACCCCTGTCATTGCCTCTCCATTACATGATAAAATCCCCATAAACTCATTAGTTTCCAGGTTCTTAGGATGCTATTGGGATATGCTGTGATGTGGTTCTAAGTCATTGGCGCAGCCCACAAGCCATACAAAACTTAATCCTTGCTACCTCTGCCAACCTCATTTGACACCATGCCCCTTCAGGCAGTGCACTCCAGCCCCTGTGGAGAGCTGTTGCTGCCCACTTTGGTGCCTTTGAATGTGCTGGCTTCTTTTGCCTAGAGTTGCCTCCGCCACATGTAGGAGCCTCCCACTCTTTGCCTGCTTGCCTTCTACTCATCTTTCAGGTTCTTTGCTAATGGGGACAATTGATCCATTAGACTAAGTCACTTCTTTAATGCTCCCACAGCCCATACTTTTCTCCCTTCCTTTAATTGTAATTAAATAATTATTTATATACTTGTTTAGTATTTGTCTTCCCTACTAGTCTCTAAGTTCCTTAGGCACAGGGACAAATTACCTTGTTCATTGTTGTGTTGACACATAGTAGACGCTCAGGAAATATTTATTGAATGAATAAATCAACAAGTGAATGAACGAATGCAGATTTAGGCTCATCATAAGTAGCAGGACTGCTTTTCACAAATGGAATGAGTTGTCTCAGAAGGCAGAAGTTTAAAATCCAGTTAGGGAGACAAGATATGTTTGGGAACAGTGCAGAATATAGTGGAAACAAAGAAGGAGAAAGCTGGTGGTTAGAAATAAAGGAACAGTTATGGCCTGGAGGCTCAGTAAGGTAGGATCAACAAGTGTTGCAACAAGGTACTTGTGCAATAAACCTGCAGGAATAGGAGACTGTGACTAAAGAGTGGGATGCTTACCTGTGTGATTTTATCATTGAGACAGTTTTGGGTGACATCAAGGTTGAGGCTGTGTCTAGGTTAGAAGGTAGCTTAGTGGAGGAGAATGTTATTGGAGAACTGAGAATCCAGGCTGTGGGATGGGTTGTGCACCTGGATGGTGGAGTCACATGGGATTACAGGAGGTGCTTAAAGGGAGAGGAAGACCAGGAGTGAGGTGCCAAAGTCATCAGCGCCTGAGGGGATGGTAGGTCACTGCAATGAAGACAGCGAGAAGATGGTATATCTCAGGGTCACGAGCTTCAAAGAAGTAGGGTTATTTTATATCTTCTTTTCAATTTCTCTACAAGAGGCTGGAAGAACAAAGGTCAGTAAGAGGAGCTCATCATAAAGGAGGCCACCACTCTGCCTTCCGACCCTGAGGTGTGTGGAGCGTAAGAGAATAAACACTGTCATCTTGAGCGATCTGCAGGGGAAGTGATGTTCTCAGGAGGCCAGGCTGCTGGTAAAGCAAGGAGGCAGAAGAAAGTTTTGGAGAGGAAACTGGAGCATATGAAGGGTTTGTTGATTGTGAAGCAGGAATTCCAGAGGATGGCAAGGAAGAGTTGGGAAAAATCAAGGTTGGGTCAGGAGACGGCAACTTGGGTGAACTGTCTAGGAGATGAAAGGTGATCAGAGGGGCTTATGCTCCAGGTGTAAGAAAAACAAGCAGTCACTGTGGATTTGGTCTTGATAGGGTCATGGAGGTGGATGGACATTTAGGTCTAACTCTGGCCTGGTTGTTGTGTGGGACTGTGCATTCCTTCCACTCACAATAAACTGCTGTTGGCAATTGCAGTGAATGCAGCCTTGCTTGGCAGGTGTGAACAAGTTAAACTTGTGGTCATGTGTGACGGGTTGTGGGCTGGGGAAGGGTTGGTCAGTGGTCCTTTTTATGGACTTAGGGCTGCTGTTGTCAATAACATTCAATGACCTTTCCCTCAACCATCTCATAGTGGGCAAATGGTCCTCCAGCATTGGTTCCAATCTCTCTGATTTTGTAATGGTTTTATAAAACTTGCCTATTAATCTAGTTCTACCCTTTGGAGACCACAGAATAGCCTAATGACCACTCTTCCCCTGACCACCCTTCAAGTGGCTGCTAACATGTCCCTGTGTCCTTTTCTATCCCAAATCTTCTCTTTAGGCTGAATGTACATTAATCTTTATTTTTTTTTTATTGAGGTGAAATTTACACAACACAAAAGCAACCATCTAAAAGTGTACAATTCAGTGGTATTTAGTGCACTCACAACATTGCACAACCACCACCTCTATCTAGCTGAAAATATTTTCAGCAGAAGAAAGCCCCGTACTTACTAAGCAATTAGTTCCCATCCCCCCTCCCCACAGCACCTGGCGATCACCAGTTTGCTTTCTGTCTCTATCAATTTACCTTTTCTAGATATTTCATCTGAATGGAATCACAGAGTATCTGACCTTTTGTGTCTGGCTTCTTTCTTTTAGCATAAGGTTCATCCATATTATAGCATGTAACAATCTTTCATTCCTTTTTATGGCTAAATCATATACCATAGTGTAGATGAATGTGCACTAAATTCACACCAAATTTTTCACTGTATTCTCGAGAAAAATGTTTGCAACAAACACAAGAGCTATCTCTACGATTCAAAAGTATCCATATGAAAAATGCTTTGATAAAAGCCAAAAACATAGCATTGATGGACTCAGTGAGAGGAATTAAGCAAAGGGCTAAGTTGATGTGGTCCAATTAGATTCCAGAAATCTAATTTGATATAAGAGCAGAATTTAAAATGTATAGAAAAGTGAATAGATTGCATGGACATTTGACAATGTTCACTAAATATCCTTCTCCCAGCCCCCCAAACCCACTTTGCATGGGACCTGTGGTCCCTGTCACTCCTTCTCTTTGACAAGCGCTGAAGTGCTGGTATACTGTGTGGAGATGATGCAACCCTGGGGCTGGAACACAATTTTGGCTGGGTTCCAGAACACTTCAACTGGCTTCCTGGAGAAAATCCTGGATTTGTCTATAGTTTAAAGAAAAACAGAAATGTCCAGCCAAGTGATAGAATAACAAAGATATCCGGTAAAATAGTAAGACTGAAAAAACGAAAAAGGGAAAACCTTCTCTTAAAAAAAATGACATTTCTAGTTTATGAGCAAAGAGAGGTTTGATTATTCGTTGATCCATCCATTTGTTTAACTGACATTTACTGAACGCTGGACCTTCTGCTTCTGAAAATGTAGAGGATTAATATTCCGAAATCCCTACCACTGTAATATTTTGAAATGCTAGGTGAATTACAATAGCTTGCTGTAAATGAATAGCTGAGCTTACAGAAAAGAATGGCGCTCTCAGAGGACAAAGCTGACTAGGGAGCAGGGGCCTGCTCGTGGAAGACTGTCACTCAACATGAGGACTTCAGATTTTACTCTGAGTGGGGTGAGAAGCCATTGGAGGGTTTTAAGCAGAGGAGTGACGTGGTCTGACTTGTGTCCTTTTGTGCTTGTTATCTTCTCTCCTCTTCCACCTTCACCTGCCTACCATCCCTTCTCACTCTTCCCTGCTCATCCCAGGAGGCTGACTCCTGCAGGCTGCACCACCCAGTCATTGGTGTGCTGGTTTCCCATCAGTTTGATTAATAAGGGGCCCCTAAAGGAAATCAGAGAGTTAGAAGAGAGAGCCTTCAGAGCGTTTCTTGCCCACTCTTTCCCTGCTTTAGTGCTATTTCTGGAAGCAGCTGCACCTCTCCTCTACCACAGTTCCTAATGGGTGACTTCTCCCCTAGAGTCACAGTTCACATTGGGTTCTCACTATCTCCTCCCCTTGAATCTTCAGTCCTGAGGATGCAACTGCTTCCTGCCATTGCCAGTCGCTGGATTCCTCCTTTTCTCTTGTTTGTTCTCTTAACTTTGTTGTTAATCTGTTGTAAGTGGCCCCTCCATTAAAGGCTCTGCAGTGGGTGAAGAATTCACCCATCTGGAGTAAATTCTGTTTCTAGCTGGGTCCCTGAATGACACAAATTTTAACAGAATCACTTAAGTTGTTTTGTTGAAAATAGGCCTTAAGAGGAAAAAGGAAGAGACGTGGAGTCCAGACAGGAGGCCTTTGCAATCAAATAGGTGAGAGACAGTGGTAGTTTGGGTGCATAATAGAATGGAAGTGATAGGATGCTGAAAATACTTTGATGGTAAAGCCAACAAAATTTCCTGTTATATTGGATATGAGTTGTGAGAGGAAGAGAGGAGTCTTTGTCTTAAGTAACTGGAGGATGGAGTTATAATTTCCTGAAATGGGAAAGGCTATGGGAAGAGTTCTCCAGGTTTGGAGGAGAACTTCAGAAGTTCAATTTGGTACATGTAAAATTTGAGAGGCTTATTAAACAACTAGATGGAGATATCGGGTAGGCATTTGGCTGGGAAGAGGGCACATTCCCAGGGCAGGGGAATGGTCCTGGCTGAAAATATAAATTTGGGGGTCACCAGCATTTAGATGGTAATCAAAATTAAGAGACTGGATTGGGTCATCAAGTCAGTGAAGGCGGATAAGAAGAGAAAAGCAGTGAGTACTGAAGCACTCCACGGGTTTGGTGGTTGGAGAGATGAGAGAGAACCAACATGAGAAACGGAGAAGGAATAGTCAGGGAAGCAGGAGGAAAACCAGCAGCTGATTGGTCAAACAGAGGAGGACAGAGGATTGGTTATTGACTTTAGTGAAGTGGAGGACTTTGGTGAGAGCAATCTCAGGGAATGGCTGTGGTTGAAAGCCTGATTAGACATGAGTCAAGAGAGAACTGAAGGAGAGGACTTAGAAATACAAGTCTAGACACTTCTTTGGGGTATAGTAGGAGCACTGGCACTTCATGGGTATCTTTGGCTCCAGGTTTGTTCTCACTTCAACATGTCTTCCAAGCTCCTTCCAGAAGACGTGCAGCTTAATAATCAAGAGCACTGGCTTCAGAACTGACTCGCCTAGGTTCAAAACCATAAATGTGTTTCTTACTAGCTTTGTCACTAACGCAACTTTCTTAATCTTTCCAAGACTTTTTAAAATGGGGATATTGATAGTACCTATTGGGGAGTAGTAGTATTTAATCTTTATAAAGATTAAATAAGGTAATAAATATGGAGTGTTGAACTCTATAGCTATTGTTGTTATTATAAACTTTTTAAAAATGCAAATCTGATTGTGTCAGTGACTTCCCCTTTCCACTGCCCTCCATGATACAGGTCCTAATTTCATAAGCAGTCTGTCTCCTTCACATTTCACACTCCAGAAAAATAAAGGTATTAGTAGTTCCCCCCAACCCCCTAGGGCAAAAAGCTAGAGCCCCTCTGTTCTCTCAGGGCTTTACTTTAGGAGGTGCCATTGACAAGGACCTCCACTAGAGGGGGAGCAAGGAAGGAGGGAGGGGAGGAACTGAAATAATCAAGTCTGTCCAGCTCTACTTAGGTTTAACAGACATTGTAAATTTGTCCGAAATACTGTTTTGATTGCCTGGTGTTTGCAATTATCAGGGGTCCTCTACCATAAATAGCCAACAGTCAGCCTAGTGTTTGTAAAAAAGAAAGGAGAGAGAGAAACAGAGAAGGAGAAAGAGAGGAAGAGGAGGAGGACAAAAGGATAGGAGAATGGAAGGAAGGATAGAAAGAGGAAAGGAGGTAAGGGGAGACGGAAGGGAGAATCAAGCAACAATACTCTTGGTCAGCGCTCTTTTGTTCTCAGGGGAAGTGGCAGAAACCAGACTAGGAGAGGGGTGTGGAAAGAGGAGCTAGCAGAGGAGGGGTAAGGGGAGGGAGAAGGAAGGAGGAGGATGTGAGACTGGGTTAGAGAAATGAAAGAAGCAAGCCTTTGACACCCCGCTCAGTCTCCCTGCAGCGCAGCAGTCTAGGCTTGGACAAGGACCTGGAGAGCCCTGGGGCTGAGCTGAGAGGCTGAAGCTACCGAAGAACAAGAGAAGGACCTGGCAGAGCCATGGTGAGCTTTTCAGCCTAAAAGATTTCCAGATGCTCAGATAGAACCTCTTCTTGGGATTGCAGAGGCAGGTGGCAAAGGACAAGAAGCAACGCATTTTATTTTTGGTTTTAAAAAAGGCAAAAACTAAAAATGCGGAGTCTAAAAAAGTGTTCTTAGAATTTCTCCTCTCAGATGTGCTGTTTTCTTCTCCTTGACTTGCCTCAAGTGAGATTCTTGAAGAAGAATTGGTGCCTGTTGAAATTAGTGCTTTTGCAACGAAACACTTGGGGTTACATGAGAAGTGAGAACACTTCAGAAAATGTGATTTTAAGGTGTGCAGAAAATTTGCGGTCTTCTCATTTGATCAAAATATATTTCTTTTCAGTTGGAAAAAATGAACTGGTTTTCTTTACTGGTGTCTGTTTGGCTATCTAATTCTTTCAGGTATTGGAAGCATTGACCCATTATAATCAAGTGTGAGATCTTAATATTAGATCTGGACATCAACAGTTTACTAAGCACCAAAGAACACCTTAAAGTAATACATACTAAATATCAAATAGTTTCATCTAACAGCTCAGCGGGAAATTAGGTACAAAAATTTACTGAAATTAGAGCAGTAATGATCAGCAACTTGAGGCTAAGAGATGAAAAAAGAAAAGAAGTATGCATCAATTTTGAGGGAAATTTAATGCTACTCTTTCACCTGTGTCTGAGAAATGTATTACCTTGGACAGGGTTAGTAAGCATATGTATTTTGTTTTGAACTTTAAGAAAGTTGTAGGTGCCTTCCCAAGGTGCTGTAAACTTGTGATTTAAGAGTATGAATCTAAGCATAACTTTATATTTTATTTTCAGATATTTCCCTGGAAATGTCAGAGAGCTCAGAGGGGCTTATGGAATGTCTTCAAGTTATGGGTCTGGACGGTGCTCTGTTGTGGTACGTTATGGTGTTTGTATATTGCTAAGCCTTTTTTACTTACGGTCATTTTTCTTAAATATCCACTGGGTGTACACAGTCGCAGGGAAAATTATTAAGTAGACAGCTATTAATTTGACTCTTTCTGTGAACATCTGTTTTCTTCCTCTCACCATTAGCAGTTGCCCAGAAACCTCCTCAACTTGCCACACCCTTTGCTGGACAGTCCAAATCCTGACAATCCCACAGAGATCTTACTTATGAAGGAATAAGGTCAACCAAGAAACATCTAATAGGAACCTTACAATCTTTACCACATATTTAGCACTGCACTTTCTACTTTTATCAATAGTTTAGTGCACAACAATGCCATTGCTACAATTAAGGTGTGAGCTCTTTAAGGGCAGCCCCTTTATGTATTTCTTTTGATCCTTCTCCCATGGATGTGACAAGTTTTATGTCTGATTCTTGAAAATTCTCCGGCAATTATTTTGAACTTTCCCTTTTCCTAAGTAAGGTAATGTTTTCCAACTCCCTAGCTTGGATTTTCAGTTCTGGTCAAGCAAACATGCTTTCCTCTGCCCCTCACGCATTCTTTATACCATGTCTGCCTCGTGCCACCTGGAAACCCAGTGCTCTTTTTATTCAACAAGTGTTTTCTGAGCCTCTGCAATGTGCCAATCACTGAAGATACAGCAGTGAACTAAACAGTTTCTTCCCTCTCAGAACTTACATCCTAGTGGAACGCTCCTTTAACACTCTGTTCCAAATGTTTATTTTACAACATTCTTTACTCATTAATCATATCTGTTTCCCAGTTCTCTGTCCATTTCTGATATTTTTAATTTGATAAAAATTAATTATGTTTTCTTTGCATCTGTTATTCCTTGTTTAGAGTCCTTAGGAGACTGTGAAAATTGGATCTATGTTTTCTTTGGTATTTCTCCATGGTATTCGCCATACACAGGGAAAACTCAATAAATGTTGATGGCTGTGAAAATTTGTACCTTGTGGTGTAATATTGTTTCACACAGGTCATACCATTCTTAGAATGGCATATATTCTTATGGGGTCATTGTGTAATTATGTTTTTATTTCAGTTTCTCCGAAGCCCTCGTATTTGAAGCACTCATTTGATGATTAAACACCGTCCGTTGAGTATCTTTGTGTACAGACCACGACCCAAATCAATTTCATAATCCTACATTTCTTGGTTTTGTAAATTATTATTTTTTTTTATTATGTAGCTAGATATATAAGGCTTGGGCTGTATAGTGAGGCTTTCCTGGAAGCAGCTCTTCCAAGGGGAAATGGTATCTTTTTGATATGAAAGAGATTACTCAAAAGGTATGTTGTTATTCCTGTCCTTATTTTACTTCTCACTTAGAAACATAAATGTTGGCCATTAGGAAATCATCCCAGGTTAAAAAAGTGGACAGTAAATTTTAGAGTTATATGATACTGTACTTAAACTAGTTTTAAATGATGGACAGCCACTAAGAAAAAGAAATACGAATTTCTAAAATATGTTGGTTAAAGTTCACTCGAAAGAATTTTGAGAAAAAAATATTTTGTGAAAGTAAATCCGGACAGCCACAAAATTTGTCTAAAATAGAGCTATGAGCAAAAGTATTCTATAATATGGTGAAAAATTATTAGGACCAGAAGGTCTGGGTTCTACTTCCAATCTGCAAATGACTCATGCTGTGACCCCAAGCAGCTCACACTCATCTTCCTCATCTCTGAGGGCCAGGCCCAGCCTGGATTACTTCTAGGTTCTTATCAGCTGTTAACTGTAAGTCTGTATAATTCATGCTGATGTCTTTCAGATTTCTTCACACACCATGGAACCAATTGCTGGACTTACCATTATTCTGAAAAACCCATGAATTGGTCAGGAGCTAGAAAGTTCTGCCAAGAAAATTACACAGATTTAGTTGCCATACAAAACAAGGGGGAAATTGAGTACCTGAATGAGGTGCTTCCTTTCAATCGTAATTATTACTGGATAGGAATCCGGAAGGTAGGAACAACATGGACGTGGGTGGGAACCAACAAGCCTCTCACTGAAGAAGCAGAGAACTGGGGAGATGGGGAGCCCAACAACAAGAAAAGTAAAGAGGACTGCGTGGAGATCTACATCAAGAGGTTCAGAGACGCAGGGAAATGGAATGATGACGCCTGCCACAAAAACAAGACAGCCCTCTGTTACACAGGTAGGGAGTGACCAGACTGCCACACTGCTCAGGGCCAAAGTGAAGACAATAACTGGATGAACCACATGGAAATGCTGGAGGAAAACAGCAGTTGCTAGCACATTCTAAAATATGTCCAATTCTCTGCATAAGCTTGAATCTTGTCACTTCTGAGCATTTTTAGTGTGTGTGGCTGGTCCTTACGTATGAAAACTATACCCCTAAATCAATTTCCATGTGGGAAGTAAGGAGGGAGAATTAGACAACTAGCATCCCTGATAATCACGCAGGGATGCGGAAGCAGAGTGATGGGCCCAGTCAAGGGCTTAGGCTCCATCACCTCAGTTTCCTCGTTGTACACTGGGAGCTTGATGCTACATGTTTCCTTCTTGTCCTCATCTTACATAATTCCATATAATGAAACATTATGGCGTGTCATTATCTGTGGCATATAAAAATTTCCATAAAGACTATTACAACAGTTCCAAAGTAGTCAACATTTTTCCAAGTCATTTTTTAACAGTGAAACATAGTTAATTTGATCTTTTGTAAGCTGGACTCTTTACTAATTTAGCAGGTTTGGACTTTTTAAATCTTTCTATAGTATTTTCTATAAAGGAAGAGATTGCCAAGAACACTGCAGAAATAACTGGGGTCTGGTCATCATTTAATGTACTTATTACATTAAAAACAAAGTAATTTCAAGAGTTTCAATGTATGTCACCAAATTTCCCCAAAATTTTACAGAGTATTAGCATTGGTGAATTCATTCTAAAAACAAATGTCTGTGGCTATATGGCCAAATGTCTATGGCTATATGGCCAAATGACTATGGCTATATGGCCAGTATATTACACAAATAAAAATTTCAGCATATGATTTTTGTGCAAAAAATGCTGTGGGGTACAAATAAACCTTCCCTTTTTATTAAAATAATCTCAGCTAAAAATTTACCTGTGTCTAAAGAAATGACTATGAGTAATAAAAAGTAATTACATTAAAATAATTTATTTCTGACCCCCTTAAAGCTTCTTGTAAGCCTTGGTCATGCAGCGGCCATGGAGAATGTGTGGAAACCATCAATAATAACACCTGCACCTGTGATGTGGGGTACTATGGGCCGCAGTGTCAGTTCGGTAAGCCCCTTTCCTTTCCTTGTTTCTTCCTGTGTAAAGTTATAGGTGTTATTGTAGTTATGGAGGTTGGTTGGGACAAAATGATACTAGCCATTCTGAGAAATGAGAAGTTTTGATCAGAAGGCTATGCTTGCACAATGTTGTTACCTTTCCGTAAAGATTTCATAAGTCAGCATGAAGTTTCAGTTCACTTCTAGACATGTCTTATCGAGTGCCACAAAGAAGACAGCACTGTGATAAAAGCTGAAAGGATTACAATAATGAACCAGGCATGGTGGGTTCCCACTCTTAAGAAACTCATAAACTAGTGAACTTGCTGGATTCGTTAGAACTCTAAAGTCTGGAAAAACCTATACCATTTATTGTTAGGGAGTGAGTTATCCAGAAGATAAACTTGCTTTTTATGTAATCCTCAAAGTCATGACAGGGCAAAGCCAAAAAGAAAAGTTCAAGTAATTTTATGCAGTATATGTCAGAGATATGCAATAATAAATCGGACACATTTATTTGGGCTGAGTATTTCAGGGGATGCAAAGACAAATCCAGTATAGTTTTTTTCCCTTAAAAGATTTACAACAAACTAGCGGAAATTATATATTCTCATAATTTAATGGATAGAAAGTAAAGTATGCTGGGGTGAGCTTGTGGCGACGGAAATTGCCTAATGAAGGAATCTGGCCTTTATTTGACAATGGGAAGCCACATGGTAGCTAAACACTTGTATTTAGGGCATTTATCCTAGAAGCAGTGCATACGATGGAGAGCAAAAAGAGAAGATGGAGAGAATCATTAGGAGTCTATTGAAATCATTCAGAGTCATGGTGGTACGAACAGAAAGGAAAGAATACATAGATTCAAAGATAAGGAGTCTTTGATCCAGTCAACTCACTATTGAAAGAAACATCAAATCCTTTGATTGATATTGTCTGAGTTTCAAAACTATGTTTGCAGTATCTGATGCATAAAATAGAACATTTTAAGGAAAAAACCCACCAATGTTTGCAATGAATGGATAAAGAATTACAACCAAAATAAATTTAAATGTCAACCAGCTGGAATAGATCAAACTCATTTCACTCGATTACTGACCGTGACTCCTTCCCAATACTTTACCCTTACTCCATTCCTAAAGTTTATTTTCTAAATTCTGATATCCTTGGCATGCTCATTTCACTCCTTGTGAACATTTCACTCTTTTTGTCTTGGCTTCCATCTTATCACTCTTTCCTGCTATTCTTTCTCCTGTGATCAATTCTCCTCTGGTTTCCTCATAGGCACTTATCCAAGCCCAGAAACTATTGTTAGTTCTCACCTTCTACCTTCCGTTCATTGATCTTTGGACTCTACACGGCCCCTCTGATCAAATGTACAAATTTTGTGGATTCATAAACCTATGTGAGCTTTGGACTGACAAATCTGCTTCCAACCCTGTACTCCAAATATGCCAAGCATATCCTTTGGGATGCCCAAAAGACTGTAAAATCAGTTGTCCCCAGCCCACTTTCCTCTTTTATTCCTTATTTCAGTATGTTGTACCACCACTTATATGGGTACTCTGGTATGAAACTCTCTCATCTCCCCTTGCATTTATGCAAAGTAACACACTACTCATGTTTGTAACTTACTATTTCCCCAATTTGTCTCCTACTTGTCAACATTGTCCTCATTATCTTCCTCCCAGATTATTGCCGTAGTTTCTTAGCTGAGCTTCATGACTTTAAATTAGCTCCCTGAAATATGTTATTCGTACCACAGGTCTGCTCATCAATTAAAAACTATTAAAAAAATCACATCCTTTATTTCTACCTATCATTTGTCCTATAGGATAAAACTGTCCAAGTCCTAGAATAATGCTTGATATATAGTTGGCACTCATTAAATCAATGAAAAAAGATAAGAGCATTTTGTCTTAGCTCCTATCTTTCTCCCTAATCTCATCTCACATCATCCCCTGACTCTTCTTTCCTTCTAGTAACATAAAAATGCTTGGAGTTGTCCACTTACCGTCTGTGCTTTGTATCTCATTGGCTTGCTCATGGCATCCTCTCTCAGTTTGCACATGGCTATCACATCTGTTCATTTTTAAGACATAGTTCAGGGACTATTACTTTCAGGAGGCTTTCTTTGGACCCCAAGACAGGCTAAGTGTCCCTATTCTTTGTTTCAGTAGCTCCACATATTTTTTTCTTATTTATTCCACATTCTTTGAACTTGTCTACTTACTTGTCTGTATCTTCTGGTAGACTGACAGCAAGTTGAGATCAGTAAGTATCTTATTTATTATTGCATCTGTAAGATTGAGACCATGCTTGGAATATACTAGGTACTTGCTTGTGGGTATGAATTGAATTAGACAAAATAATTTACTGTAATTTGGACTTATATTCTATATGGAGAATATGAAAATTCTTAAACTTCCTTGAGTCCATTCTTCAATGAATTCAAAGAGCAGGTAACGAGAATGACTCAAATTTGATAAGGAATAAGACATGAGAGGTGCAATACGTGCTCAAATGGCATGGCAGGGGCTAAAATGTGAAGATGGATTTCCAAGTTTCATGTACATCTACTACACCACCAATTAGAGGAAGGAAATAGATACAGTTTTTGGAGAGGGTTGCCAAATCATAAGAACTAAAGTTCTGGAACTGAGCCAGACAGTGTGAAGACAGAATTGAGGGCAATATGCTTCCCAAGCTTTTATCTTCTCTTCTGGTAAAGAAGACTAATTATGGACACCCACTCTTTCTCCGATCTCCTACTTCCAACACTTTAGTATGCTCAGCTGTTCTGATGTGACAGTTATTTCTAAACTGAGCAGGTCATTCCCACTTAACCTAGCCAGAGGTAAAAATTCTCTCCCAAGATAACACTAAAGATAAGAAGAAGACTAACTGATGTTTAATTAGGACTTCCTATGAGCCAGGCTATGTTCTAAGTCCTTGACTTGCATTAAATCATTCAATTCCCACACCAACTGTAGGAAGTCAATGCAATTATCATTTTTCCTCTTTTAGAGACGAAAGAACTGAAGCTGGAGGGGTTAAGTCACCTTGCTTAGACGCCCTTGGTTATCAAGTGGCAGAGCTAAGACTCACCCCCAGTCAGCACGTCTTGCTAACACTAAGTACCCAGAGCTGTTTCTTTTCTTCTTGAAGTGATTCAGTGTGAGCCTTTGCAAGCCCCAGAGCTGGGTACCATGGCCTGTGTTCATCCTCTGGGAAACTTCAGCTTTAGCTCACAGTGTGTCTTCAACTGCTCTGAGGGAAGAGAGATCGTCGGGATTGAAGAAACCACTTGTGGGCCATCTGGAAAATGGTCATCTCCAGAACCAACCTGTCAAGGTGAGTGACTGTCCCGACTGGAGGCTCTGTCACGGCAGTCCTCGGCTTGCAAACAGAAAATGCAGCAGAGTCTCGCTAAGAAGTCTGGATCTTCTTTTGGAGCCTAATTGAACCTAACTTAGATTATACCGTGATGCTTTTCAAAGGCGTTATTGTTACTAAAATAGGAAAAAACCCACAAACAAAAATAGCAACCGAATACCTCTGAAGCCATTTTACAGTATACACATAATTTTCAGCACAACAGCATGGTTATGCTGTGTTTCTTTTTCTCATTCCTGTGGCATAAATAATCAGGTTTGCTGACCTTCAGGTGCTTTTTGGTTGTTCTCTCTTCTTGGTAACACCTATTTTATGTGGTGTTCTGCTTAACACCAACCAGTTTCCTTCTCGGGGCTACAGGTCTTTTTTGATTGTTTTATCTTGTTTATTCTTGAATCATTTTTTACTTTTCCTCTCTAAGAACTCTCAGACTAATAACAACTACTGTAAACACTAAAACACAATCTCTTGGTCTTTTTGTTCGTCTGAAATATGCTGGGTTTTTCTTTTAACTGTCAAGAAGGCTATCTCTATATGAGAGAAAACTTGTGGTGTCTGAACCTGTGAGGTTTTGGTTACGTGTTCTATATTTATGCTTCTGACACCCTAGTTTAAGTGGTTTAATTCTCAAAAGAACTATCAAAAATCGTTTATTGAAATCACAGAAGTAAACTGACCAATCTGCTGAATTTTACAAAAGTTGAATGACTTGCCTCAGAAGATTGGGAAGTCTTTCAAAACTGCTTAGGCAGGGGCCGGCTCCACGGCCGAGTGGTTTAAGTTCGCATGCTCCGCTGCGGCCGCCCAGAGTTGGGATCCTGGGCGCAGACATGGCACGGTTCGTCAGGCCACGTTGAGGCGGCATCCCACATCCCACAACTAGAAGGACCTGCAACTAAGATATACAACTGTGCACAGGGGGGTTTGGGGAGATAAAGCAGAAAAAAAAAAGATTGGCAACAGTTGTTAGTCCAGACGCCAATCTTTAAAAAAACAAAACAAAACAAAACTGCTTAGGCAGGCTTTAGAACAGGTGAAGGTGGAAATTCTCTCCATTTACTGAGAATATTCCACAAGAGCTCTTGAGGCAAAGACCACGTGGCATGGCACTCCCAGCAGAGTTGGGGAGTTACCAGGGCTGGGGCAGCAGCCTGGAGCAACCAACCCTTCCCTTGTCCCCTCCCTACCACCCCAAGGACTCTCAGTGCTCTGCTGGCTTCACCCTTGACTCACTGCTCTCCACCATTCTCCAGGAAATAAAGTCTGCGAGCATTAGCCGAGGGAATTTTTGAAACTGGAAATATCTAGACTCATGTGGATGGTTCCACAGTTGAGTCAGGCTGCTTTGGCTAAAAACCCGTTGGTGAAGGGAGGGTCTCTGCTTTTCTTTTTCTTGAAGTGATTCAGTGTGAGCCTCTAACAGCACCTGATTTGGGGACCATGGACTGCAGTCACCCCCTGGCAGACTTCAGCTTTACCTCCACATGCACCTTCAACTGCTCAGAAGGAACTGAGTTAATTGGAGAGAGGAAAACTATTTGTGGATCATCAGGAATCTGGTCCAGCACTAGTCCAAAGTGTCAAGGTGAGTAAGTTTTAAAGATAGAGCTGATGGACGAGCTGATGGTGGGGAAAGATTTGGCTAAATGTATGTGGCTTAAAACTATGTTTTTATACATTAATTTACTATAATGTCCTTGGTTATTCTTGCCTCTTCCTTCAATGGCAGCTATTTCTTTTGTCCAGTCACTTCTCAACTCCTCCCTTTACATCTAAACTCACTCCTCCCGTAAGGTCTAGTCTCTTAACATCTAAACTCACTGTCTCTATTGACTTATTTCTCATCCTTTCTTTTGTTCCACCACGATCTCACTTCTCTGTTAGTGCATTAAAGTTTCTCTACAAAGGTCGCCAATGACCACCTGATTCCCAAAGTAGAGGAAACTGTCAATAAATACATCTGCAGGGGCCCGCCAACGTGGCTGAGTGGTTATGTTTGCATGCTCTACCTCGGTGGCCTAGGGTTTGACAGTTCAGATCCTGGGCGTGGACCTACATATTGCTCATCAAGCCATGCTGTGGCAGCATCCCACATAGAAGAACTAGAATGACTTACAACTAGGATATACAACTATGCACTGGGGCTGTGGGTAAAAAAAAAAGAGGAAGATTGGCAACAGATATTAGCTCAAGGCCAATCAACTTCAAAAAGGAAAAAATAATAATTACATCTGCATCTGTGACGTGGGGTACTGTGGGCCCCTGTGTCAGTTTGGTGAGTCCCTTTTCTTTCCTTGTTTCTTCCTACACAAAGTTACAGGGCTTATTGTAGCTTATGGAGGTCAGCTGGGGCAAAATGATAACAGCCATTCTGAGAAATGAGAAGTTTTGATCAGAAGGCTATGCTTGCACAATGTTGTTACTTTTCCGTAAAGATTTCATAAGTCAGCATGAAGTTTCAATTCACTTCTAGACATGTCTTTTTGAGTGCCACAAAGAAGACAGCACTGAGATAAAAGCTTTAAGGATTACAATAATGAACCAGGCATGGTGGGTTCCCACTCTTAAGAAACTCATAATCTAATGAGCTTGATGGATTCATTAGAATTCTAAAGTCTGGAAGAACTATACCGTTTATTGTTGGGGGGTGAATTACCAAGAAAGTAATCTTTCTTTTTATGTAATCCTCAAAGGGATTACAGGGCAAGGCCAAAAAGAAAAGTTCACATAATTTTATGCAGTATATGTCAGAGATATATAATAATAAATCCAACACATTTATTTGGGTTGGGTATTTCAGGGGAAACAAAGACAAATCTAGTATAGATTCTGCCCTTAAAGGATTTACAACTAACTAGTGGAAATTATATATTCTCATAATTTAGTTTGGTGGAAAGCAAGGTATGCTGGGGTGAACTTGTGGAGACCGGAAATTGCTTAACAAAGCAATCTGACCTTTAATTGACAAGGGGAGGCCACGTGGTATCTTGACACTTGTATTTAGGGCAGTGCATAAGATGGATTGGAGAGCAAAGAGAGAAGATGGAGAGAATCATCGGGAGTCTATTGAAATCGTTCAGAGTCATGGTGGTATGAACAGAAAGGAAAGAATACATAGATTCAAAGACAAGGAGTCTTTGACCCAGTCAACTCACTGCTGAAAGAAATGTCAAATCCTTTGAGTAATATTGTTTGAGTTTCAGAACTCTGTTTGAAGTATCTCATGCATAAAATAGAACATCATAAGAAGAAAAAGAAAGCAACGTTGTAATGAATAGATGGAGAATTACAGCCAAAATAAATTTAAATGTTAACCAACTGGAATAGATCTAACTCATTTCACTTGATTCCTGACCATGATTCCTCCCCAATACTTAACCCTCGCTCCATTCCTAAATTGTATTTTATTTATTTATTTTTTGGTAGGGAAGATTGTCCCTGAGCTAACGTCTGTGCCCATATTCCTAATTTTGTACGTGCAATGCCACCACTGCATGGCTTGATGAGTGGGGTAGGTCTGGGCTCGGATCCAAACCCACGAACTCCAGGCTGCCAGTGCTGAGAGCACTGAACTTAACCACTATACCACCGGTCTGGCCCTCTCATTCGTAAATTTTATTTTTAAATTCCTCTATCATTGGCATGCTCACTTCACTCCTTTTGAACATTTTACTCTTTTTGTCTTGGCTTCCATCTTATCACTCTTTCCTGCTATTCTTTCTCCTGTGATCAATTCTCCTCTGGTTTCCTCATAGGCACTTATCCAAGCCCAGAAGCTATTGTTAGTTCTCACCTTCTATCTTCCGTTCATTGCTCTTCGGACTCTACACGGCCCCTCTGATCAAATGTACAAATTTTTGTGGATTCATAAACCTATGTGAGCTTTGGACTGACAAATCTGCTTCCAATCCTGTACTCCAAATATGCCAAGCATATCCTTTGGGATGCCCAAAAGACTGTAAAATCAGTTGTCCCCAGCCCACTTTCCTTTTTTATTCCTTATTTCAGTATGTTGTAACACTACTCATATGGGTACTCTGGTATGAAACTCTCTCATCTCCCCCTGCATTTACGTAAAGTAACACACTACTCATGTTTGCAACTTACTATCTCCCCAATTTGTCTCCTACTTGTCAACTCTATTACCATTGCCCTTATTATCTTTCTCCCAGATTATTGCAGCAATTTCTTAGCTGAGCTCCATGACTTTAAATTAGCTCCCTTCAAATGTATTGTTCATACTACAGGCAGGCTGATCAATCAAAAACTATCAAGCAAACATCACACTCTTTTATTTCTACCCATCATTTGCCCTATAGGATGAAATTTAATCTCCTCAAGTCCTAGAGTAATGCTTGATATATAGTTGGCACTCATTCAAATCAATGAAAAAAGATAAAAGCATTTTGTCTTAGCTCCTTTCTCCCTAATCTCATCTCACATCATCCCCTGACTCTTCTTTCCTTCTAGTAACATAAAAACGCTTGGAGTTTTTACCATCTGTGCTTTGTATCCCATTAACTTGCTCATGGCTCTCTCTCAGTTTGCACATGGTTATCACACCTGTTCATTTTTAAGACATAGTTCAGGGACTATTACTTTCAGGAGGCTTTCTTTGGACCCCAAGACAGGCTAAGTGTCCCTATTCTCTGTTCCAATAGCTCCACATAGTTCTTTATTTATTCCACATTCGTTGAAGTCATCTACTTACTTGCCTGTATCTTCTGGTAACTGACAGTAGTTTGAGATCAGTAAGCATCTTATTTATTATTGCATCTGTAAGATTGAGACTATGCCTGGAATATATTAGGCACTTGCTTGTCGGTGTGGATTAAATTAGACAAAATAATTTACTGTAATTTGGACTTATACTGTGTATGTAAATATGAAAATTCTTCTAGTTCCATCAGTCCATTCTACATTGAAATCCCATGATAAGATCACAACAATGGCTCAAATGTGGTAAGGAATAAGACTTGAGAGTTGCAATATTTGCTCAAATGGCATGGCTGGGCTTAAAATGTGAAGACTGATTTCCAAGAATTTTCTAGGTTTTTTGTTTGGTGAGGAAGATTCACCCTCAGCTAACATCTACTGCCAACCCTCCCCTCTTTTTGCTTGAGGAAGATCAGCACTGAGCTAATATTTGTGCTCATCTTCCTCTATTTTTTGTATGTGGGACGCCTCTAGAGCATGGCTGATGAGTGGAGTGGGCCCATGCCTGGGACCGCAACTCTGGAAGCCGGGCCGCCGCAGCAGAGCACGCAGAACGTTAAGCACTCAGCCATGGGGCATGCCTCTGATTTACAAGTTTTAATTTCATCTACTACATTAGCATTTAGAGCAGGGAAATAGATACAGTTTTTGGAGAGGGCTGCCAAAATCAAAAGAACTGAAATTCTGGAACTGAGCCAGACAGTGTGAAGACAGAATTGAGGCTAAGGTGTTTCCCGAAGGTTTTATCTTCTCTTCTGGTAAAGAAGACTAATTATGGACACCCACTCTTTCTCCGATCTCCTACTTCCAACACTTTAGTATGCTCAGCTGTTCTGATGTGACAGTTATTTCTAAACTGAGCAGGTCATTCCCACTTAACCTAGCCAGAGGTAAAAATTCTCTCCCAAGATAACACTAAAGATAAGAAGAAGACTAGCTGATGTTTAATTAAGACTTCCTATGAGCCAGGCTATGTTCTAAGTCCTTGACTTGCATTAAATCATTCAATTCCCACACCAACTGTAGGAAGTCAATGCAATTATCATTTTTCCTCTTTTAGAGATGAAAGAACTGAAGCTGGAGGGGTTAAGTCACCTTGCTTAGACGCCCTTGGTTATCAAGTGGCAGAGCTAAGACTCACCCCCAGTCAGCACGTCTTGCTAACACTAAGTACCCAGAGCTGTTTCTTTTCTTCTTGAAGTGATTCAGTGTGAGCCTTTGCAAGCCCCAGAGCTGGGTACCATGGCCTGTGTTCATCCTCTGGGAAACTTCAGCTTTAGCTCACAGTGTGTCTTCAACTGCTCTGAGGGAAGAGAGATCGTCGGGATTGAAGAAACCACTTGTGGGCCATCTGGAAAATGGTCATCTCCAGAACCAACCTGTCAAGGTGAGTGACTGTCCCGACTGGAGGCTCTGTCACGGCAGTCCTCGGCTTGCAAACAGAAAATGCAGCAGAGTCTCGCTAAGAAGTCTGGATCTTCTTTTGGAGCCTAATTGAACCTAACTTAGATTATACCGTGATGCTTTTCAAAGGCGTTATTGTTACTAAAATAGGAAAAAACCCACAAACAAAAATAACAACCGAATACCTCTGAAGCCATTTTACAGTATACACATAATTTTCAGCACAACAGCATGGTTATGCTGTGTTTCTTTTTCTCATTCCCGTGGCATAAATAATCAGGTTTGCTGACCTTCAGGTGCTTTTTGGTTGTTCTCTCTTCTTGGTAACACCTATTTTATGTGGTGTTCTGCTTAACACCAACCAGTTTCCTTCTCGGGGCTACAGGTCTTTTTTGATTGTTTTATCTTGTTTATTCTTGAATCATTTTTTACTTTTCCTCTCTAAGAACTCTCAGACTAATAACAACTACTGTAAACACTAAAACACAATCTCTTGGTCTTTTTGTTCGTCTGAAATATGCTGGGTTTTTCTTTTAACTGTCAAGAAGGCTATCTCTATACGAGAGAAAACTTGTGGTGTCTGAACCTGTGAGGTTTTGGTTACGTGTTCTATATTTATGCTTCTGACACCCTAGTTTAAGTGGTTTAATTCTCAAAAGAACTATCAAAAATCGTTTATTGAAATCACAGAAGTAAATTGACCAATCTGCTGAATTTTACAAAAGTTGAATGACTTGCCTCAGAAAACTGGGATGTCTTTGAAAACTGCTTAGGTAGACTTCAGAACAGGTAAGGGTGGAAATTCTCTCCATTCACTGAGAATATTCCATCAGAGCTCTTGAGGCAAAGACCACGTGGCATGGCACTCCCAGCAGAGTTGGGGAGTTACCAGGGCTGGGGCAGCAGCCTGGAGCAACCAACCCTTCCCTTGTCCCCTCCCTACCACCCCAAGGACTCTCAGTGCTCTGCTGGCTTCACCCTTGACTCACTGCTCTCCACCATTCTCCAGGAAATAAAGTCTGCGAGCATTAGCCGAGGGAATTTTTGAAATTGGAAATATCTAGACTCATGTGGATGGTTCCACAGTTGAGTCAGGCTGCTTTGGCTAAAAACCCGTTGGTGAAGGGAGGGTCTCTGCTTTTCTTTTTCTTGAAGTGATTCAGTGTGAGCCTCTAACAGCACCTGATTTGGGGACCATGGACTGCAGTCACCCCCTGGCAGACTTCAGCTTTACCTCCACATGCACCTTCAACTGCTCAGAAGGAACTGAGTTAATTGGAGAGAGGAAAACTATTTGTGGATCATCAGGAATCTGGTCCAGCACTAGTCCAATGTGTCAAAGTGAGTAATTTTGCCCCAATTTACTGAAGATTTAAAGGTGGAGCTGATGGATGAGCAGATACTGGAGAAAGATATACTGAACTTTTAAATTTCATTTGGCTAAATGTATGTGGCTTAAAAATAAATTTGTACACATTAATTTACTATAAAATCCTAGGTTGTTTTTGCCTCTTCCTTCAGTGACAGCTAGTTCTTTTTTCAGGCAATTCTCAACTCCTCCTTGACATCTAAACTCACTCCCCCTTGACTCATTCCTCCCTTAACAGCTAGTCTCTTAATGTCTAAACTCACTGTGTTTACTGACTTATTTCTTATTTATTCTGTGCGTGAGATGGACCATGTCTTCCTCATCTCTTTATACCCTCCACCTGACACAGTGCCTGGCAATAGGTGCTAAATAAAGGAACCTTAATTTAGCATGCAAAAGAATAGCTACCCACATCTGCCAAGAGACCACCTGTACCAATGGCAAAAGACTTTAAATAGTTGGATCAGTAGATGGTTCAGAGAAGTTGGTGTTTGTGTGGCCCAGGAACAGGCAGCAGGGTAGAGGATCAGGGAGGAGGCACGGAGCCTTTAGGGGAGGGTTGTATATCAGGCTTATGGGACTTCCTTTCAAGGCTGGGCTAGTGTCCATTTCCTCATCCTCATGCTGCCAATAGGTGTCCTCTGTTTGGATCCTCTGGGAAGTTGGTGGTATCAGAAGATAGATTTTTTTCACATCAGTATTTTTTCAATAAAAGTCTCCAAATGAACTTAGTTCACACTTACAAGAGGATGTATAGATGTATCCTTTTACTTATTTGTGAAGGAAGTAGAGGGAAATGATAGCACCACGTCATTTGAGAGATAGATTAGTGCAGGTCCTTGGCTTGTAAACAACAAGTGCACGTGTTTGTACAACTGCTTCAAAGTGAAAGCATTAATAGTTCCCTTTAATTGATAAGTTACCTGGTTCAGATCACTGGCTTCTATTTTTCCTGAAGTCATAATAGACTTTTTAGTATTTCAGAGTCCCGACTATTGAACAAGGCTATGGAGATAAATACAATGATGATCACGTCTTGCCAAGATTTTTAGGTACATCTCCCAGGAATTCCAAGAGTCACAAGTCTGGGGATTGCAAATCTATAGGCACTGGGCTGGAAAAGCTGGTCTAGTCTTTGCCTCTGCCGTAGACTCATCATGGGCCTTCCCATGCTGGTTCCTCATCTGTCAAACAGCATCAAACGGGCTATTACTGGGAAATGTAGGAGGAAAGAAGTCTAATATCATGAGATGGCGCTAAGGAAATAATGCTTGTGGCCTCATGCTTTGTGCTGTGCTGACTTCTCTTTCAGAGTTGGACAGGAGTTTCACGGCGATCAAGGAAGGTGACTACAACCCCCTCTTCATCCCTGTGGCAGTCATGGTTACTGCATTATCTGGGTTGGCATTTATCATTTGGCTGGCAAGGAGATTAAAAAAAGGTATGTGAGTTCACCTTCATATGAAAATAATATAACTTTAAAGTGGAAAAACTATAGAAACCCACAGGAAATTAAATATGATAGATCCAGCTGAAGCAGGATACCAAGCTCTATGTTTTATAGACATCAGTCCCTGGAGATGTGTGAAGCAGCCCAGTACATACTTTCATTAAAACAATTTGGCTGATTTTTGCTTTTTATCTAATAAACCTCTAAAAAATGCCTACTGTCTTCAAGGTACCTTGCTAGGGTGACAACAGACAAATGAGATATTTTAATGGTTCTTTCTCTTATTTAACTCTGAAAGAAGGATGAGTAATCTCTGTCCTCTAAGAGCCTCCATGCCTTTGATTTCAGTGCTACAGTTCCACTAGGAAGTGAGTCTAACATCCGATAACATTTCCAAGGCACTGTTCTCAAATATCTGACTTCATCATGAGTCACATACCTGTCTGGCTCCTGACACGTGGGAGTTGCATTGTCCCTAGGAGAAATCCCCACATTTTCTCCCTAATGTCTATGCACCAAGGTCAGAGCTCTAACTAAATGCACTCCATACTCATGCTTCCCTTCCACCCTGGACCGGAGAAGAAAAGGGAATAACGAGGACTGCCTTGAGAAGCTAATATCTGCTTCCTGGAATAGTAGATGGAACATCACTAGAAAAGAACAACAGCATCCCCAACGCCCAACCTCCCTCTTAAGTGTGTCCAACCTCTAAAGTGGGACCAACCTGCCCGTTACAGGTCCACAGTCTGTGGCAGGCCTTGGATGTGTGCTGCCACATTTGGCAAAACTCTTCTGGCAGAAACATTCCAGACTATGAAATTCATGGACATTAGGCAGCTTTTAAGACATCTCTGCTTCAAATTCAGGGGCCATCAACAACCTCAAAACAACTGCTAACCGACTGCTGTGTCTTGCCTTTCTATGGGGTCAGTTAATTGCCACTTTAATTTTACTTCCATCAAATTAATTAGTATTCTTGTCACTGAATACGGTAGGTAAAGGTTACCCCCACTCCCACCATCCTCACCAAAAATTGCAGGAATATTATCTACCAACCCCTAATGTCCTTCCACAATGATCTGATCTTCCATCCCAAATTTAAGAATAAAGGAACTAGATTAGTTTCCTAACCAACCCAGAAAGACAATGGAGGTGCACACTGTCAATGTGCAAGAACTTCATTAACTGTAACCTGACAGCACTGAGCAGTTAAAATGTCTCTGCTCCTGCTATTAGAAATTCTGCTAAGATTGGGTCCCTTATAGTACTATACCATTTTATAGTACTATACTATATACTTGAGTGTTGCACTAAGGCAAAAGAAGAATGACGTGCTTCTCCTACCATCGATTATCCTTTCCATCAAATCCCAGTAGTCCTTTCCTCCTACCTTGGGTAAAGACGGCAAAGCTGAGAGGGTAGAGAATAGAGTGGGTAATTGCACACCGCCCTCTGGGATAAGGGGGCTATGATTTAAATAAACTTTTAAGGACTTTGGGGCTGCGAGTCCCCTTACTAAGGAAGATATTTCTAAATTCTAAAATATTTTAATAAATGTTAGTAGAATCAAAAGAATAGAATTGAAGTCATGTTTATTTAGTTGGGGGCGGGGCTGGTTAGCTGGCTCAGGCTGTTTTATGGGCAGTGATGAGAAAAGCAGTGGGGTTGTTTTCAAATTTTTTAGCTTGGAGTCATTTCTGTACAAGATCTCAAGCCGATAACTTGAACATTGCATGCCCCTGCTGTGGGAATCAGTGTGGGGCAAACAGGAAACAGATAAGAGGCAGTTAGACGAGTTACAGTTATGCCAACAGAGAGAATAGACGCCCCAAAAGATCACTGAAGTTGTAGGAAAATCAGGGTATCTTTAAAGCAACATTTAAATGATCTTCATTTGTGAAACATCTTCTGATATTTCCAACTTTTAAGGGACTCTGTCTTCTAAAAATTTTAGCTGTTAGTTCTTTGAAACATGAAGACTATTTTTCCCGTAGAGACAATGTTAGAAATGATGGGTAGGTTCCCAGGCTAACCCCCCAGAGCTTTCGTAACACAATGTAGCTGATGCATATACAAGAATAAAAGTCAAAACCCCTCAATCTGCATATATACAGTATTCACCAACTCTAAGAATTTTGTAGGCTTTGGGGTTCAGAAAGCTGAGAAAGGGCACAGGTGAATATTTAGATCCTAGAAGCCAATGCAAAGACCAGAATTTGACCACTATCCTTCTGTCCTCAGGTGGATCTTCTGAATTTGCACTCGGCCTCTGCGTTAGTTGTCTTGATATCTAGATTTTAGCTCCTTTCTCCTGAGGAAGTCATAGGGCAGGCTCCAGAAACATACTCCCCTGTGCATGAGCTCATCCAGGAGCAATTTCCCCCAGCATCATCATTCTCTAATAAGTTATTATCATTGGCCCTGTCTGGTAAATGAGAAACTGAGGCAATGATGTTTTAGGACAAATCTCTAAAGTCCCGCATCAGCAGAGGCCCACCTAGAAATCAGACATCCATCTAAATATGCCCCCTAAAATCAACCACTGGTCTTCAGATTAATGGGGCTCTATTTTTTTCCTCGGTTGGAAGAATTTTCCACCTGAGCCAACTCACCTGGTTAGAACAGGGCATGAAAATGAACCCATGCCCCGTTAGTTCCCTTTTTTTCAAAAAAGAAACTCTCTCAGTAGGAACAGATTCTTGCTTGTGTATTGTTACCCATTTCATTGTTCCTAAAAGAAAAATATGTTTATGTGAAGATAAAGGAATGAATCTGAAGTGAACTCAGATTTAATTCTCCCTGCTCAAGTGTTTTTGGTCCATGTCATCAGCAGGCTGAATTCTGGAAAAAATATTTAAAATAGTAATTTCTAACATTTTAAAGGTTTAAAACAGTAATTGAGCACTGTTTAAACTCCGGGCCCTGGACTAAATCTTTGATTACATTTTATTTTATCAATGCAAGGAGAAAGACATAATTATTATGCCTCTTTCAGAGATGAAGAAATTGTGGCTTAGAGAGGATAAGTAGCTCTTCAAAGACACAGTGCAGGTGGCAAAATATGACTTATGCCCGGATTGTATGATTCTAGAGCTCCACTGTATAGCCACTGAAATATATTGCTTCCCAGCGGTTTTTTACTCCTCAAAAAGCTTTTTTTTGCTTTTATTTCCTCTGGAGCTCAACTCTACAGTTCATTCATTTATCTACCTATTTGTACTCTGCTTTTTTCAAAAGTAATGTAAGATAGTTTACAAAATGCATTCAACATAGCAAGTTAAAATTAATTTAAAAGTAGGTAAGAAAAGGTCAAAAGTTAGGGTATGACAATAAGTTGGAGCCAGGGGTGAAGTTGGGACAGAAAAATGTGTGTCACAAAGTCCTACCCACTTGATAGAAGAGGGTCTCAGATCTGGTTCTGTTTCCTTGTGGCCAGTTAAAGAAGGAAGCACGACCAGTCACTACGTTCACTGTGTTTGTAAGATAAAAACACATTGGTTACTCAGACAAAGCATGTAATTCCCACCACTAGACCTCAGTGAAATGTCTCCTGTGGTTTCTCACAGAGAAGGTGGTGTGAGATGTAGTGACACATATTCTTGCAGTATTAGCAGGTATGTTTCTTAGGAGAGAATCTGCAAGTAGGAGGAGACGGCAGGTCGGGAAGGGATAAACACGTGAATGGGGGTATTGGGCCTGACTATCAGGCAATTCAGGTTAGACTTTTGTCTTTAGGAGGAGCACAGAGGATGGAGTGGAACTCTGAGAAGCATCTGCCTCAATGCGTCTGTTCTGTCTGAATATCCACCACTGTTTGAATTTGAATGTTAAGCCAGTACCTCAAATCCCTTTAGACACAGATGGGACCCACGTAACAAATGCATAATTCACTTCAAAAGACAATTTTGAGAGTTGGAATCTCCCTTCTCTCTTACTTTAAAATATTGAAATTGTCTAGTTTTGCTGATGTCATTTTTCTATTTCTTTTATTTTTAGGCAAGAAGTCTCGGAAAAGGTAAGTTTTATGAGTGAGGAGTTTCTACATCTGTTGATCTCTTCTCTACCTTTCTTAAGATACTTCCTGTTACAGCTAGACATATTAACTCCTTAGTAGTTATTTACATGGGGTCTCATCCAAATGAAGTTTCCAGTTAAAATGATTGATCTGCTAGCCTCCCTTAAAAGCTGTGGGTTTTTTTAGTGCTAGTAGAGCTGAAGGAATGAATAAACAAGTAATGCCCTATTAAGAAAGGGCAGCTGTATAAAGGGTGATCTTTCTGATGGTCCCTGAATTTTCATTAAGGATTGGAAGCATTATGGTATATTTCCTCTTGTCCTGGATGAACACGAGAGCAATACAAAATACAGTATTCAGGAAACATTCAATTCAACAAGTCTTTATTGAGAAACTATTGAAGCTCAGGCCCTAAGAAGAAGGTATAATTCCAGAGCCCCGGCCCTCAATGCCCAGCCTGAGGGGCCGAATGACTACTCCTCTGGTAAGCATTGACTTTCAGAAATGTGGAAAATGTGGGGAGCAGGAATTCTATCTGCAGCTTCCCCTAAAAGGCAATTTTTCAGTTTGGTCTTGAACTTCATGTTTCACAATTGGAGAAACATATACTGAGAGGAGATGCAGACATGTGAAAATATGTGGCCCATTTGGCAGAAATGAAGATGGCAACACATTTCTCAGTTTCAGGGGTTTAGTGACTTGCTTTGAAATTTTAGGAAGGAGGGTGCAAGTAAAAAGAACTATGGAGATGAGACTTTGGTGACATACTAAGTACTGAGCTAGACAACTGAGCTCCTTTTAAAATGCTGGAAATGAAGCAGGATGGTCCATGAGGAGGCTGGTTTCTTGTTCAGACCACCGTCCTACAAACCACAAATTGTTATAGAGAAGTTCGCGGTGGTTCAGTAAGCTTTAGCTTAGAATGCAAAAGAGAAACTGCGGAGACATAAGGCAAGGAAGGCCAGATCATAAAGCAATTTATAAGCCATGTTAAAGAGTAGGGACTTCATCTTGAGGTCTTTGGGGTATCACCACGGGGGTTTAAGCAGGTGAATGTCACGTTGAAACATGCATCTTGAGGATCTCAACGTTTGGTCTAGGAGGGTCACTCTATACCAAAGTATGCAAACATGCATGGGAAGTGGTTGAGCCTGGAGGCAAAGAATTGTTTTCGAGGAATTTGAAGTTATTAGGTGCCTGTCTAGAGAAATAGCAGTGAGGATGAGCTTGTGAGACAAGAGGAGGCAGAATCAACTGAATATGGTGATTGATTGGCTGAGAGAGAGAGAGAGAAGAATCAAAGAAGTTGCCGTGGTTCTGATCTGGGAACCGATGGATGGTTGCTGTCTGTATTATACTGTTTACTGAGAAGGGAACACGAAAGAATGAGAAGTTCTGGAGGTGAAGATCATGGGTTCAGTTTTGCACATATTGAGCTTTAGGTGCCTGTGGCTCATCCGTATTCCATTGGTTCTAGCTGTAGCACAGGGGCTATCTTGGGACAGAATGGATTTGGGGGTTCTCACGTTACAAGAGGTAACTGCTATCTCAGGAGCAGGCACCATCATCCAGGGAGAATGTGCAGTGTGAGAATGGAAGAGGATGTGGGAGAGAGAGTGGGGACTGGAGGAACATCAACATCGAACAAGTCAGCTAAGGAAAAGGAGAATGGGAAGAGGTTTTCCAGAGAGGCAGAAGGAAAATGAGGAAAGTTTGGGTGGTGAATACTAAGGAAAGAGGGAAATGGAAACTGTTTCAAATGCCTCCAGGAGAATCAGTAAGTTTCCACTGGATGTAACAAGGGTGTCAGTGGAGGGACTGTTTTCAGTGTTGAGGTCAGGGTAGAAGTCTGATAGCCAGGGGTGGAGGAATCAGTGGGGATGAGAAAGCAGAGGCAGAACTTGTAAGTCATCTCTTTTCAACAGCTTGGCCAGAAGGAGACAAGAGTGTGTGTGTGTGTGTGTGTGTGTGTGTGTGTGTGTGTGT